GATCGGAGGGCAAATGAACCATGAGCTGAAATGATATGGAAGCTATTGCTGGTAAGTAGCCTACATATTCTAAGTGGTACTTTATTTTTTGTTCCATCTTACCTCGAACTGGCGAGATTCGTGGGCAAATTCGATCAGACTACCCGACCAAGCAGAGCCGATAACATGGTCCGCGGTGGATGAATACAAAATTAGCTAATACGCTTATGAAGGTATTTCGTTAAGCAGTTGGTGCTTATTGTAAAACGAGGACTACGTCTTTGCCTGTATGTAATTAATGAGCGTTTCTCTTCAGAACGAGGAATACATACAAGTAGGATCGAAGCGACTCAGCATTTGATATATTGGCTTATTGACTTAACTCATGCAAATAACTCGATATACCCGTCGAGCTGACTCGCTTGGATCTTTCCTTAATACGTCGGTATCTGCGGAAGATCGAAGTAACTCTGCTCACAGGGTAGTCTGACGACGGAGGTCGCAGCAGTTTTCGCGTGCGTGAGTGCCCACTTCGTACCGCGATAATCCAGCATTGTAGCAATATATCTAATGATTTGATAAGTGAATATTTCAGTGCCCAAGAGTATCAAAATTTGAAATTAAGCACAGACTTGCTTATTTAATCTACGGTTTGAATCCGCGAGTCAGGATCAGGAGGATGTCACTTAAATTTTCCATGTGAAAGGAAATAGTTAACGCCCGCACGCAGGCTGTAGTACTCAAGACAAAGGACATGTAGAATGAGCGAGCCAGAGAACGCACTTTTAGGAGTTTAACAAAATACTAACTCCTAGACAGAGAGGTCGAAAGAGAGAAGAAGCGTTAGCGAGTCAACCTCCCATGTAGGTCTTATCCTGATGTTAATCATTTTTTTAGATCATACCGGAATTCAGAAATGTATCTGCGCGGCGCAGATGATAACCACATTAACTGTGGGAGGACTGTATGCCATATCTAAAATAACTCGATTCCATCGAGAATTAGGTCTATATGGGGATCAACTCTCTTACCTTTACCTTCTCTTACTCCTAGGTAACTGCAATATCTCTCGTTGTCGTTGGTTGCTGAGTTTTTACAGCGGATACTTTGATTGATTTTCAGTCTTAACTAAAGCTTTGCAATTTGGATTCCATTGTTTAGGTACGAATGCTACAAGGCCTGGATTAACAT